GGGCAGGGGGACATTGTCCCTGCCCTGGCAGCAGGCAGCACTCAGGGGCAGGGTGTAATGTTCCAGCTCAGGCCAGAAGTCTCCTAGCCACATGCTTCCTGCCAGTCGCTGAGTTAGCACCCCAAGGAAGCCTAGAGCTCCCTCTGGTGGTGGCAGGGGCCATTGCAGGGCCACAGGAAGTGGGAGAGGTTTGCTGCCATTAGCAGCAAATATGCTCCTGCTTCCCTGCATGTGTAGATGCCTGCCCGAGAGTGTTTACTTGTGAGTAAACTGATCCTGAATCAAATGCATGTATAGATGTGCCCACTGCTAGGGTGTGGCTCATTTCTGCATAGCTATGGAAAGGGGAGTAAGACCCAGCACTTTGCAACTTGCCCAGGCACGAGTGGTTACTGCAGAAAAGTAAGGAGCTACAACCTAAATTGCTTAGGTCTCCTAAACCTGCCACTCTACACCTAATGTGCTGACTGGAGGACTATCTAACTGATTCCTTAACTAGGCACATGTCACCAGTCTGGGCCAAACCCTGCAGGAGGATGAGAGTATGCCTAAGTCAGACAGCCCTCACAGAAGCTAGCCAAGGGTCAGTCTCTGCGTATGCTTCCACTACCCCCCACACCTGGCAGAAGATTCTAGTGGTTAAGGCAGTGGAGACCTGATATTAGACACCCAATATTGGAGACCTAGATATAGTGCACCCTGATTTGCAGCAAGGACCTGACCCAAAATCTCCACATCTGCAGCATGTACTAAAGACGCTGACCTGCAGAGGCAGTCATCCTCACCTGTGCTTGTGGGGAGGATGGGGGTCAATGTGAGCAGGGGGAGGCAACTGCTTGGTCGGTGGTGGGTTACTTGTTGGCCAAGTCAGCCGCTTAGTTGCTGATGACTTGCCCCTCTAGTGCATTCTGCTCCTGAAGCTTAGGCAGCTCCCTACTTAGCAGGCTTCTGAGGCTCCCCCTTTCCTTAGATGCTGCACAATCTCCTGGCACTGTGTGGACAGTGTGGCTGCCTAACCAGGACTGGAACAGTCTTCTAGGCAGGAGGGTGGTGAAGGGAGTAGCACTGTGAGGAACTACCTCCCCACACCTCCCTTCCCCCCCAATGTGTTGATCAGCAAGGCTTGGGATCTGCTCCTCAAATGGGACTGCTGGCTTATACAAGGCTTGAGTCCCTACTTGAAGAGCTAGTTCTATCACCCAAGGGAGGTGTAGACCTATTGAGCAAAGGTGTTTGTGGCCTAGTCACCAGGAGATGGGGCACCTTACAGCGGGTGTGGGGTCCTTTGTGGGGGTAGTTGTAATTTGGGCAGGACCAGTAGTAAATAATTTCTGAGAAGAGTAAACCTGGAACACAGCAGAAGCTGGGAACAATTCCTTCCTTGGGATGCTTTTGCGACAACTATGTGGGGCAATATTCAGCAATGGCTGATTCAAGCGTTACCTTCTTTGGGTGGGTGTAAAACTTAAAGCAACAGCCTGGCCCTGCATGCGGCCTGGCTGTGGTCTCCGAGGGAATCGCTATTGGTCAGATGCTAGAGAAGCTGTAACAGTTTGATTACAACCCGCTAGCCTTATATTCTGGAGACCAGAGCATTGGAAGATTTCAGTGTCTTAAAGGCCCATGTAAAAACTGCAGGGAGAAAGACTAACGCCTGAGAGCTTCACTGGGCTACCAGTGAGAGGAGCGTCTCACCAATGTTCTTGCTGCCTTTGAAAGCTTGATAGAGGAGGCTGGGTTTGCTATTCATAAAGAAAGGAACTCATTGCCCCCAAAATCTTGGGACATAGTTTTTGTACAGCGTCAGTTTAAAAGCAGTTGAATCTATGGACCTCCCACTGTGGCTGCAGTTACTCCAAGAAAAGTGCTTCTTTCCAAAGAAATGGCAAGACAAATTATCCTGATACAAACAAAATAAAACCTCATGGCCATTTCTTCAAGATCAACTCTGCTAGAAATGAGAGGCTTGTGCGGGGCTTTGTCTGCCATTCTTGCCGACATACCAAATCCAATGAGGCCAAGAGTTTCTCCTCTGATCCGAGCTGCTCCTGAGGCCACCTCCCTTATCTGCTCCACGCTCTGCACGCGGGTCCCTTCCCTCAACGCCTGGTAAAGCCATGTGTTCCGTCTGTAGAGGTTTAGGACGTGGCATATGGTGGAATCAGCAGTCTCTTCCACAGCTGCTGATGGGATATTGCAGACGGCAATCCCTAGGGGAAGAAGAAGAAAAAACAAAGTTATGTCTCAGTGATGCACAGTGCCAGCAGTATCCCCAGGCTCTCCCTAATGAAACTAAGCTTGTTTTATAATGCTCCTGGAAATGGCTTGGAACAGCTCCTAGTGTAAAGACTTTTTTCCCTGTTGCTGTCAGTAGCCTATTTCCCACCCTGCCGCTGAAAGGGACCTGCTCAGAAATACCATGATTGTGAAGGGAACGTTATGGCAAATGCTGCCTTATAATTAAACTGCTGCCTGCATCATATGTACAGCTACTCCCTGCAGGCCAGGTTAAGAAAAAGCACGTGTAAGAAAACACCATTTATATATTGGACTTGTCTATACTTTAAAGCTAGCTTGGATTAAGATTGAGTGTGAATTTACAAGTGCAGTAGCTATTCTTGATTATCACCATGTGTGGATACAATTTGAAACTGGATTAAATTATAGTCTTTTTCTGGCATGTGTGTCCACCCACGGTCACTCAGGAGCAGCCATTCTAAAATAACTATGCCTAGTGAAGTCCAGCTGTAGAGAAGCTTACAAAAATGGAACAAACTGAAGTCACTTATGCTCTTTTGACAAATTTCTTCCTTCTCATAAATACTTTCCTTTCACTTGTTTGTTCTGAAAGAAGAGTTACCATCTTGGAAGCCCCATTTTGATGCAAAGGGCCTGATGCTGCTGTTCTTACTGAGCAACACTTGCATGAAGAATCACCTGCCACTAACTATAAAGGAAGGACCCATGTACCTACTCCCAAGTAAAAGGATCAGTCCTAAGAACTGGCGTTGCACTCAGTTGTCTTCATTTGCATCTTATTCACCTACCAAGAAACCCTTAACTGAAGACAGCTGCCCTGTCAGGGGGCACCAGCAATGCCTCACATTAGCAAAGCAACTCAGGCAGTAACTAAGTCCCTCAGTGCTGCTAATATACATCATTCTGTGATAATTCCCTCTGTAGCTTAGTAATTATTTCATTTTCACTTTAACACCCTTAGTTTGAGAGGGGCTATCTGCAGTTAAGACATTGCCCCGGTGGATCAATCCCAGTATCTGAAAAGAAATTGGGAAGGTGGAAGGGATGGAGGGGGAAGGGACAGAGTTGCCAGGGAATGACCCACAGGGTTCAAGAAGCACGGTAACAAGTAGGGAAGAGCAGCAAGAAAGAGCTGGGCAGGCTGCTGAATACATCAGCTCAACAAGCCCCCATCATTAGGCGTAATCTTGAGGCCATATGAAAACTGTTAAAAACCACTAGACTTACAGCTGCAAAACACTGGAAAACAAAGTCACAAAAACTGTGAGTTTAATTCAATATGTAAATGAATAATGTAACTGCTAAAATGCCCTCTCAAGTGGTGTTTCCATTCAGTCTCTGTGCTTGCAACAAGCTACATGTGTTTATGCTGAGCATGCATAACCATCCTGGTTTTGGCAGCTGGGTAAGGACCACCAGTGCTGTTGGCACCTAGGAAGAGGTGGGGTGCACAGCACATCTTTAAATCACTTCCACATTTCAGTGCAAATGCCTCATTGAGATGATGAGAGCAGTTCATACCTCCTCTTGGACTGGCTATTCCAAACTGTTTGCAAACAGGGAAACTGTTGTTTTTTCCCCCACTTCTTTAAACATAGTTTAAACTACAGACTGGATAAGAGTGCAAATGAGGTACAGAAACACTTGTTTTCTTTTTTTTTTTACCAAAAGTTTTGGATGCTGAAGCATAGTTCAATGTCAGACTGTAAACTCTTCAGCAAATGATGCCTAGTGTACGTGACCTGGGCTACAGAAGTATTGCTATATGGCCTGAAGACATCTGCTCTAACTTATCTCTACACAAGATATGTAAACGGGTTTGATTAGAGATGAAGCAATGCCAGATCCAGGACTGAATCCTGTACTATCAGGATCCTAGCGATCAGTTCAGCACATTTCAGCCCTCTGAAAGCCCCTGAAAATCTGTCCTGATTTGCTCTGGTACAGTTCAATTAACCAGAAGGCTGGGAGGGCTCTGGGCTTTAAAGACATACTCTTCATTAATGTGCTTTCCAAACTCCTCAGGTCCAATGTGATGCATCATGCTGTGCCTAGCTTCAGAGTACCGGATGCAACTTTTAAAACCCCACAGAATGGACTGAAAGAGCTTCCCAAAACTACCAGGAATATTAAGCACTAACATGCATTGCAGAGGCCTGGAGTTTGTCTAATCAGAACATTTTGCACTTGCACAATATAATATGCAGTACTACAGCATGGAGACACGCATGCAAAGATCACTGAGGCATCAACTTCAGTGTCTGTACTACAGTATAAGTCTCCAAATCTCACTGAAGTCAGCAGAGCCTTTCTGCTGACTTCAGTGAGTTGTAGATTGGTCCAGGAGGCATTTATGGGTCTATCAGCCCCCAGCACATGTGTGTAACTGCAATTAATATAAAAGCTGTTACACCCACTGTATACCCAGTGGTGGCAGCAGTCCCTTGCTACAAGGATGACAGTGTTCCAGTAAATAGGGAAGTCATTGGTGAGTCCGTAATTGAGGAGGCCAACCCAAGATCTGCATGTTCAACTGAAGATACAGCAAACAGCTCCAGAAGGATCCTAGCGATGTTGGGTCACAGCTCTTTCCTTTTATCTCTCTTGTCTATCTGTCTCCATAGTGGGATGGATTTGCTCAAAATTACTGGTGCCTTGTTGTTGACATCAAGATGCCCTTGGGGATGAGTCGGTGCTTAACTCTTCCAAGTATTGCTGTTAATATCACATTTCTTCAGACTGGTCTTTCAAGATATCCTTGAAACTTTTCTTTTGCTCCTGTCTGGAGTGGTGACCATTGGTGAGTTGGGATGATAAAGACCCGTTTTAGGAGCTGGCTGTCAGCCATCCTTATGATATGGGTTGTCCAATGGTGCTGGTGCTGTATAAACATAGTGTCAATGCTAGTGGGGTTTGACCAGAACACCAGTGTTCATTCTTCAGTCCTTCTGATTGATATGGAGGACTTTCTGGAGACATTACTAATGGTAATGTTCCAAAGCTTTCAGGTGTTTCTGGTATGTCATCCAAATTTCACATCCATGCAACAGTCTGGTAGACAGGAAGTTTGGTGAGGCTGGAAGTCATGATCAAAATATACTTTCTATGGTCAGGCAGAGTAGGGGGCATGGCATGGGTATGGAGGAAGCAGGGACTCCCTTGGCATGCAATATGAAGTTAAAGAAAGGTCTTCAAATGTAAATAATCAGGCAGATTTTGTTTACTTGTAAGAGAAAACAGCAAAAAGCTAATCAGTCTGCAAACACACTGGATAGCAGAGTCAAACTGTGAGCAGCATGTCAACAGCTCACAGCTGAATAAAAACATTTTGCAGATAAATGCTTTAGCCAAGTGTCTAATTCAAAATGACTGTTCCAAAGACCTTGTGTTTCTTAGTTTTATTAAGATTTACAATACAGCATTTTGAAGCAATGAATCATGTTAACACCAGCCCATCAGCAAACATGAAAGAGCTGCATACATCTGGCAGTGCATAAAGATCAGTTTGATTTTATATGCTAATGGTATCCATTAGTGGTAAAACAATTTATGCTGCTACTTCCTACATCTAAAAATCTCTGTACCACACAAAAAGGTCAATATATATGACTACTCTTCAACCTAGTTAAGAAGGCTGTACTATTGCTATGGCCATATTATTCTTCTCAGACACCAGGTGGCACTGTTACACATAATCTTCCAAATTTTTTTTTTTTGGCATATGAGAGGAGGTTTTGCTCCCAGGAAGACATGCAGGTCATGGTTAGTCTGGCATAATGCAAGGATCTACAGACAGGCAGTTTTGGGAAAGGAGGAGTTGTGCAAGATGCAGCTGTTTGCTCTTCCCTTTAGCTTTTGATTGCTTCAGAAGACAGTTGTTCCCTAGGAAACAGGCACTGGTGTTGGACAGAGATTTGTGGCAGAACAGCCTGGCTGCATGCTGTTGGCCACACTTGTCCCAGGGCTGATGTATGTGTATAAATGAAACAAGTTACATACAGAATATACCCACATTGTGACACAGACTTCTTCACTGGGAGGCTAATGTGCAAAGCCTCGACACATGCTAACTCTCAGCAGAGGGTCAACAATGGCATCAAAAAAAAGTCAACATGATATGTTAGTTAAACTGTCTGTTAAATTCATTTTTCATACTATAAAAACGCCATCAATAGGAAATAGCCCTATGCAATAGGATTACTGCAGTCTCTATGCCATTCTCAAAGGGCCATACTGAAAGGGATCAAGGGACTCTGATGACTCTATACCAGACCTGTCTGTCTCATCACAACCTTGCCTCAAGAGGTTTGCTCCATGTAAAAATTAGTGAGACTGCAATTAAGAGGAGAGACCCAATTAAGATGAAGTGAGTGGTTGCTTACGAAAGCTTATGCATCTCTGAATCAGTCTATAAGGTGCAACTGTATCCTACCATCTGGTTGATCTTTGGTAGGAAGGAGATAACTGAAACCAGAAGGCGACAGAAATATTAGACATGATGAACACTGATCAAACTCACATAACTGAAGCTGGCTCAATACTTCCAAAATATCTAGAAAGGAAATGCCTTAAATTCAAGTAAAGAAGAAATCATGTTTGTCTCCTGTTTGAATCTGATCATTCTCATCTGTGAACTAAATCAATAGCTCTTCACAATAAAAAGACTTTGTTTTGGCACAAAAAAAACCTTTAATTCGCCAAGCTGTCATTCAAAAGGAAAAGGCCATTAGCTTGAACAGCAAAGAGGTTTGTGTTCTGCTATTCTGTTATATGTAGCATGGTGTTGAACACCTTCCAACAGAATATTAAAAGCTATGTCTAATGTCTGTCACATCTTGTTGGTCTTCTCATCCTCCCAGAGGGAAAACAATGTTTAATGAACTGTCCTGTTTTGGTAGGTTTGGGTTTTTTTAAATACACATGTTGCTATCTGTTATGGTAGGGTTTGAGA